ACGGGCAGAGTTCAGGAGCACAGAGCAGGAATCCCGGCACAGCACGGGCAGAGTTCAGGAGCACAGAGCAGGAATCCCGGCACAGCACGGGCAGAGTTCAGGAGCACAGAGCAGGAATCCCGGCACAGCACGGGCAGAGTTCAGGAGCACAGAGCAGGAATCCCGGCACAGCACGGGCAGAGTTCAGGAGCACAGAGCAGGAATCCCGGCACAGCACGGGCAGAGTTCAGGAGCACAGAGCAGGAATCCCGGCACAGCACGGGCAGAGTTCAGGAGCACAGAGCAGGAATCCCGGCACAGCACGGGCAGAGTTCAGGAGCACAGAGCAGGAATCCCGGCACAGCACGGGCAGAGTTCAGGAGCACAGAGCAGGAATCCCGGCACAGCACGGGCAGAGTTCAGGAGCACAGAGCAGGAATCCCGGCACAGCACGGGCAGAGTTCAGGAGCACAGAGCAGGAATCCCGGCACAGCACGGGCAGAGTTCAGGAGCACAGAGCAGGAATCCCGGCACAGCACGGGCAGAGTTCAGGAGCACAGAGCAGGAATCCCGGCACAGCACGGGCAGAGTTCAGGGGCACAGTCAGAAAAGGGGTAACAGCCACCAGATACAACAAAAGAGGGTCACGAATCACATGTAAGGTCACAGGTCACGCCGCAGAAGAAGAGGGATCCCCGTGGGATGGTGAGGCCGGAGGTCTGTAGTTGGTCTGTGGAGCCTCTTCGGTGCTCGAGGAGGACAACAGTGCAAAGCTAGTAAGGCACTACAAGTCCCAGCAGTCCCCAATCTAGACTTGTGCGCCGTCAAAAAATTTGTTCCGTTTCGGACTCAATTCGGATTGGTACGAAATACGGATTTTCGTTAGTTTCGGCACATTTTCGTAACTTTACGAACATTCGTTATGATGAAGTTAAAAAGCAAAAATACCTTTGTTAATATCGGAGTCGATGTGGTAGTTGTTTTTTTATCCGAAATACGAATTCCGTTAACGTATTTCGGACTTTAAAAAAAACTCATCGACTCCGATATAAATGTACTTTGCTATTTACCTTCAATATAATGAATGTTCGTAACGGAATTTCGTATTTCCTGCCTGTGTATTGTAATGCGACTCTCAGCAGCAGCGGATCCGTATTTCGGATTAAAAAAAAAATCTTGTCATGTTGTTCAACCTCATTTACAGGGGAAATATTAGTTCCCGTTTCATAGAAATTCGGATCCGAAATTCGTTAATGGAATTTCGTATTTCGGATATAATTCGGAAACTGCCATTCGGATTTCGGATGCTTCCGAATCTACGAATTTCAGGAAAATTCGTACGAATTTCGATTTGTAACGAAACGAATCGCACATGTCTACCCCAATCACAGATCACACATCCAGAGCGCGATGTCCCGGCCGTCCTCATCTTCTTCTCGTCTCTTTCCTCCGGCCATCAGCCTCTCGTGTCACGGAACACGCGGACTCCTCTCTCTGAGCACACGGATGTAACGATCTTGTACTCGGAGATCTGAGCCGCGGACGGTTGTTGCCGAGATGTCTGACATTGTCCTGGTGCCGCATACAATACATCCCGAGCTTCCTGCTGACAGGAACCTCATCACCGGACCTCAGGCATGGGCACCGGATCTCAGGCATGGGCACCGGATCTCAGGCATGGGCACCGGATCTCAGGCATGGGCACCGGATCTCACGGATCGGTTCTGGAGATCAGCTGACTGAGGTCGTCCAAACACTTCTAATATTTCTCATCTACGTTACAACTCCAACATACTAAAACCATATTCAGGATATTTCGGCATGTATGAATGCGTATGCTCACCAACATCCTGGAGGCGGGGTGCATGGCGCCATACATGTGCGGCGGGTGATGTCATTTGCAGAACAAATGGTGGCCGTATCGGCCGCCAGCGAGTTCTACACATGCTCACCGCCATTTTGGAGTGTATCTTGGTGTACACCAAGATGGCAGCATCCACATTTTCGGGTGCCATCTTGGTGTATACCAAGATATACTCTAAAAACGTAGCACGCATGCGCAGAGCGCGCTGGCAGCCGATACGGCCACCGCTCAAGCTGCTGTTTCGGAGGCTCGTTGCCTCCAAATCTGATACGCCATTAAAATTTGTCTCCTTTTCATTTGTTTCGCCCAAAACCTTTTTTTGCCGTGCGGATGCCGAACGCTCACGGTACGGCCCGCGGGAGGGAGGCCAGGACTCCGGTGTGGCCTCACACGTGTATGTTCTATCAGGTCAGCCAACAACGTCTTCAGGACTCCGGTGTGGCCTCACATGTGTATGTTCTATCAGGTCAGCCAACGTCTTCAGGACTCCGGTGTGGCCTCACACGTGTATGTTCTATCAGGTCAGCCAACAACGTCTTCAGGACTCCGGTGTGGCCTCACACGTGTATGTTCTATCAGGTCAGCCAACAACGTCTTCAGGACTCCGGTGTGGCCTCACACGTGTATGTTCTATCAGGTCAGCCAACGTCTTCAGGACTCCGGTGTGGCCTCACACGTGTATGTTCTATCAGGTCAGCCAACAACGTCTTCAGGACTCCGGTGTGGCCTCACACGTGTATGTTCTATCAGGTCAGCCAACGTCTTCAGGACTCCGGTGTGGCCTCACACGTGTATGTTCTATCAGGTCAGCCAACAACGTCTTCAGGACTCCGGACAATCATCAATCTCTAGGAAGATCTGTGTATGGAAAGCAGCGCGCATCCATCAAAGTACGGAGACGAATATTATTACATAGGATTTATATAGCGCCAACAGTGTGCGCAGCGCTGTACAATATAAGGAAGACATTACAATACAAAATGGTAAGGAGGGCCCTGCCCCTGAGGGCTTACAATCTAAAAGGGGAGGGGCCAGTGATACATGAGGAGGGAGCTGTGTGGGGATGAATGGTTTGAGCCCGTGAATAGACGTCACTTGTCACCGACAACCTGGAGGAAACCTCAAATGTGGACCCTCCAGCAACCGACCATCACTCCGAGTATGGGGGAGGGGGGACGCCGACTAAGAAACACTTCCTGTGTAGGTCCATCCAAAGATACAATGTATGAAATGTCTGTGGACCACCGACCATCAAACCCATTCTAGAATTCATATGGGGTCGATGTGCCCCCCATGGCCATACCATCCTCCTCTCTTCTGGGAAGACGTCCACAAGGTTTTGGGGGTGTCTGTGGGAATGTTGGACCATGTGTGAGGTCCGGTAGTGAAGTTGGATGAGGCTCACGATACAATTCACCCCAGAGGTGATCAGTAGGGATGAGGTCGGGGCTCTGTGCAGGTCACACCGTGTCTGTATGGAGCTCTGTACACGGGGGACAGAAAAGGGTCTTCACCAAACTGTGACAACAAGGCTGGAAGATCCCCATTGTCTCCAATGTCTTTGTATGATGGAGGAGGAACAGACCCTTCCCTGGAGACCCCTGAACCCCGTCATTGGCGGGGAGGGGGATAGGGTCAGCCATTGGCGGGGAGGGGAATAGGGTCAGCCATTGACGGGGAGGGGGATAGGGTCAGCCATTGGCGGGGAGGGGCATAGGATATCTCGGCATGTTTCGACTTCTCCAGAACACAAGGGGTTACACCGCCAACACAGGCCCTCCAGCCGTGCTTTAACTACAAATCCCAACATGCCTCCGGGAGTCATGCCTGTAACTGTCAGTCTTCCAATGTCTCATGGGACTTGTAGTTCCACAACAGCTGGAGGTCTGGAGTTGCCCACACCGGTAACATTTAGTATGGTTTGTAGATACAGGTTATAGGTGGAGCTCATTGGATTGTTGTTTCGGATATAAGCGGCGTCAGGGTTCTATCATCGGGTTCAGATTACAGCAGGGCTCAGGGGGCTCCGATAGGCTGCCATCTACAAAACCCACGGACCCCTTGACCAGAGTAGAAGATCAATGTATACAAAGTCCACTGAGAGTCCAAATTCTTTTAATATTGGTCTTAGTTCATAACAAGAGAATACAGAACAGCCAACGTGTGTCAGGGGCTTCCCCCTTCTTCGGGGCCCGAGCTTAAAAAGAGGACTTGGGACGGCACAACCACCAGGATCAGGAGGAGTAAAATCCGAGGAATGAAATGGATGGGGGGCAGGGAGAATCGGGTCAGCACAGGGGTGGGCAACCTTACAAATCCCACCATGCCTCTGGGAGTAATGCCTGTGCCTGTCAGAGTCTTGCAGCGCCTCGTGGGATTTGTAGTTCCACAATAGCTGGAGTGCCGAGGTTGCCCACCCTTGTGTTAGATGATGCCGGACGTCCTCCAGCCAGGAAATGAGGCGGGCTCTCTATCTGACTTGCTGCAGCTTCTACATTGTGAGTCTGTGTACAGTGACATCAGAGGGGAGGAGGCGGTACAACTGAGAGGGGAGGAGGCGGTACAACTGAGAGGGGAGGAGGCGGTACAACTGTGAGGGGAGGAGCCGGTACAACTGTGAGGGGAGGAGCCGGTACAACTGTAAAGGTCGGAGGTCAGATATAACGGCGGCATGGGACAGCTGAGGCGCCCCTGCAATGAGATGATCCCGCCCTCCTCTGTCTGATCCGCTCATATGTCATCAAAGGGATTTATTTATTTTTTAAACATACAAAAACACAACACGGAATAATACACGCACACGCATGCAGCCCGCGGAGCCGCTCGTCAGATATTCAGTAGCAGCTTCTGTGGCTACATCCAGTCACTGCCGCGTATGTACAGCTATAGACAAATATACATGATTACCTATAGATCCGACCTCGCAGTGTACCGGCATATCAATGCTCACAGGATATGGGGGGAGGGGGGGGCCCACTGACCTCTGACCTCATTCATCACATGACTGGCGGTGATCAGAGGGGGAATGACACGGAAATCTTATTAAAAACAGAAATCCACAAAACAAAAACATCGATTGATCCTAAAACAGGGGCGACATCGGAGGAGCCAAATTATATATATACACGTCACCGTCACGGCACATTCCAGGAAATAAAAATACAGCCGCGCCAAAAAAATGTCACCTGACCGCGTCAGGGAGGAGCGCATGGAATAAATAAATCATGTCTTCTGGTCTCCAGAGCGAGGGACGGAACACGCGGCTCCACCAGGACTCTCAGTCCCCCATCTTTACCTTAGA